GAAGTGGAACCCTCTAATAGGTCTGGGTTATAATTGGGGTTATGATCCCAAGTATCTGGGATGGATAATCTGGGCGTTTTAGCTGGTGCCTTGCCTTTACCGGCGGTAGCACTATCGCCCTTCCAGGGACGTTTGTGGGGGGTTTCCTCACGGTCTGAGCCCTTAGACTCATCCGAGTCTGACAAGTGTGCAATAAGGGTCCTTTTAGAGGTGGGTTTGGACTGGTCGTGTAAAGCTGCTAAGGCTTTTGGTATGAGGTCCGCAATGGCGTTATACAGCCAAGCTTTGAGTTCCGCAGGGACTACTGGTTCCGGCAAATCTGACATAATTGCGGAAAAAAGGGGGGGGCACCACTAGTAATATATAAAAGTATATAACAGTAAACTTTTTTTTTTTTTTTTTTATAAATAATAGTAAGAATTAAAGAGGCGGTGGACTTGTTTTGGCACGTGATGCAAAGCGTTGTTTCAAAAGTGGTGTCAGTCACCTTTTAATTGAGCGTGGAGTCACCCACAGATTAAGATGCGGGAGAAATAATGTAATGAGGGGGTCACCCTCAGTAGACAGTAGATTGAGGCAAATTAATATATTTATGAGAGGGGGTCTCCCTCTGTAATAAGGCAGACAAGATTTAGTATAGAGGGGGTCACCCTCAGTAATGAGACAAGAGTATTTAGTATAGAGGGGGTCACCCTCTTATGCAAGGATTTAGGTGTTTAGAAGTAGTCTGCAATAAAAAAGATTGAGATCACTTTAATATGAGCAATCCACAAGAAGAGTGGTGTTTAATTAAAATATTTATTAAAATATTTATTTCCATGTATTGGGTGTACTTACCTGAATGACCAGAAGAAGGCGCTGGAGAGCCGCTGAAGAAAAGCAGAGAACAAGCTGCAACCAACGATCAGAATGTCGGCGGTAAAGCGTGGGAGAAAGCCCGCGCAATTAAGGAGGGAAAAATGGCGGTGAGACCGCCCGAGTAATCAGAGGCACAAATTAGTACAGATGAAAGACTTTTAGGTGTAGTTAATATCCAGTGACACCTCACTGCATGGCCACCGGCCAGAAAGCCGCGATCAGATTACTGATGCGGTTTCTGTTTGTAATGGAAGGGAGCAGGCGGC